CCCCAGCATCCACAACAACATGATCAATAGCACTATTTGTTCATTCAGCGCAGTGCTGGTGTTATCAGAGAAGTCAATAATCCTGCTGATGGGAATGGAAGCGTTACACTGGTGATGCTTTGTTTATGTCCTTCAAAGCGCAAGTGGGAACAGCGTACAGATAGCTGTGCATGTGCTGTTGTCAGTACATGCAACTGTTTATGGATGTGTCCTGGAATTGAAGATGCTATTTTAAACCAATAACAGTTAATCTAACCAGCCTGTTTCAAGGAACATTATGGTGCGGCTGCATGGAAGTCATTACTGCTGAGTGGTTATCAGTCATGTTTGTGTCCTACAGGTGGGAGAGGGGTGCTACCAGCTGACCTAATTTCCTCCTTGATACTGCTATCAAAGGCTGTAGTACAGTATTTATTTTTTGCTTCTTATCCCATCAGATATAACTTCCTACTTTACCTTCAAAAAGTATCTTGACATTACAACCTTTAGTCTGTTCATGTTTTTAATGGGTTTCATGTGATACAACAACATGAATGAGTGTATCATTTCAAAATAGAAGGAAATGTAGACAGGTTTTATTTTAGAATGTCTCCAAATTCTTTTGAAAAGTGTTGAAGAACCCCCTCACAGTAGTATGTTTTCAGAGTACCTTCAAGTCTTGCATATCTAGATGCTGATAGTTTATGCTGATCATTTTCTTTGCAAAATTAATCAAGCCTGGTTGGGTGGTTTTGGATTATCTGTGCACTTACATTTTCAGGTTTTTGCCATAGATTTTTCAATTGGATTTAGGTCTGGGCTTTGACTGGGGCATGCTATCACATGAATACAGGTGCTGGTCATAAAATTAGAATATCATGAAAAAGTAGATTGATTTCAGTAATTCCATTTAAAAAGTGAAACTTGTATATTATATTCATACATTACATACAAACTCATATATTTCAGATGTTTATTTTGTTTAATTTTGATGATTACAAATGACAACAAATGAAAATCTCAAATTCATCATATCAGAAAATTAGAATATTACTGAAGACCAATAAAAACAAAGGATTTATAGAAATGTTGGCCAACTGAAAAGTATGAACATGAAAAGTATGAGCATGTACAGCACTCAGTATTTAGTTGGGCCTCCTTTGGCCTGTATTACTGCAGCAATGCGGCGTGGCATGGAGTCGATCAGTCTGTGGCACTGCTCAGGTGTTATGATAGCCCAGGTTGCTCTAATAGTGGCTTTTAGCTCTTCTGAATTGTTGGGTCTGGTGTATTGCATCTTCTTCTTCACAATACCCCATAGATTTTCTATGGGGTTAAGGTCAGGAGAGTTTGCTGGCCAATTAAGAACAGGGATACCATGGTCCTTCAACCAGGTACTGGTAGCTTTGGCACTGTGTGCAGGTGCCAAGTCCTGTTGGAAAATGAAATCTGCATCTTCAAAAAGTTGGTCAGCTGCAGGAAGCATGAAGTGCTCTAAAACTTCCTGGTATGTGGCTGCGTTGACCCTGGACCTCAGAAAACACAATGGACCAACACCAGCAGATGACATGGCACCCCAAACCATCACTGACTGTGGAAACTTTACACTGGACTTCAAGCAACGTGGATGAAGTGCCTCTCTTCTTTTCCTCCAGACTCTGGGACCTTGATTTCCAAAGGAAATGCAAAATTTACTTTCATCAGAGAACATGACTTTGGACCACTCACCAGCAGTCCAGTCCTGTTTCTCTTTAGCCCAGGCAAGACGCTTCTGACGCTGTCTGTGGTTCAAGAGTGGCTTGACACAAGGAATGCAACAGCAGAAACCCATGTCTTTCATACGTCTGTGTGTGGTGGTTCTTGAAGCACTCACTCCAGCTGCAGTCCACTCTTTGTGAATCTCCCCCACATTTTTGAATGGGTTTTGTTTCACAATCCTCTCCAGGGTGCGGTTATCTCTCTTGCTTGTACACTTTTTTCGACCACATCTTTTCCTTCCCTTCGCCTCTCTATTAATGTGCTTGGACACTGAGCTCTGTGAACAGCCAGCCTCTTTAGCGATGACCTTTTGTGTCTTGCCCTCCTTGTGCAAGGTGTCGATGGTCGTCTTTTGGACAACTGTCAAGTCAGCAGTCTTCCCCATGATTGTGTAGCCTATAGAACTAGACTGAAAGACCATTTAAAGGCTTTTGCAGGTGGTTTGAGTTAATTAGCTGATTAGAGTGTGGCACCAGGGGCCATCAATTTTGAACCTTTTCACAATATTCTAATTTTCTGATATGATGAATTTGAGATTTTCATTTGTTGTCATTTGTAATCATCAAAATTAAACAAAATAAACATCTGAAATATATGAGTTTGTATGTAATGTATGAATATAATATACAAGTTTCACTTTTTAAATGGAATTACTGAAATCAATCTACTTTTTCATGATATTCTAATTTTATGACCAGCACCTGTATGCTTTGAGCTAAACCTTTCGATTGGACCTCTGCCTTTCAGTCTGCAATGTTGTGCAGCCTTCTTTCAGGAATAGTGTTTTCTGAGTGAAGAACTATGCTTCTTTTTTGACTATGTGTAGCATTTTGCATGCAATAAAGTAAAAAATTACTCTTCTCTTCTAACTACAACATCTTCTTCCACATTACCCTGCTTTTGTGGTAAGCTGCATTACATCAAGATTTTTTAGTCCACAAATAACAGTGGTCTTCTCTCACCTGAGCTCTGCATTTTTGCAGCTGCTCCAGAGTAACCCTGAATATCTCTTGAACATCTCTAATTATTTATCTTCTTGCATCACTTTTCAATTTTAGGAGGACAGGTGGGTCTTGGCAGGTTGGTAGAGCTCCGGATGGTGCATTGAACAGTCCTCCATTAGATATTTAAACCTCGTTCTTTTATAACCTTGTTGTGTCTTAAACTTTATGCATGGTATATGTTAGAGTTGAAGGGCTAAATACAACCAAATTATGGCACACTGTTTAGTTTTGGGAAAAACAAGGAGACCCATGTTTCCCTTTCTTTACAGCTTATGTTCTGTGTTTTATGCCCTTAAATTCAGAGTTAAAATACACTGAAGAGGAGGTTAATACATTGTACAATTTTAAAAAGATGAATTTGCAGATCTTTCATTGTGTCAAGGTAGTGATTCTCCACCTGGGTCAGAGTATTTCTTAAGTTACCAGAGGAAAAAATTAAATAATATTGAGCCAGAAACCTACACTGTTTCTGCAGTCAGATGACTGTCTTCTGTAGACACACTTGGTCCAAATAACTGAATGATTTCAGTCATCACTGGCCCTGTGTTTTTCTGATAGAAAAATTCAGTTCCGTAGAAGGATATAGCAAATAGAACAAATTCAATAAGCTTAACCCTGTGATAAATTATGACATTTAAAACATAACTTTCAGGATCCTAAAATGTGCCTTTACCTTGTAGAGTTGATATATTAGTCCGCTGTGTAAAGTGAGCATGCACATGCCTATGGGCGATTATGTGCCTAGTTGTGGCTCACTGGGGATTTGTGATTTAATGGATTCACTTGTGTAGGCCAGCACAGAGCTGTTTAACAGCTCAAGTCTTGGATCACTGATTCATTTGTGTCTCTTTAATTAAGGATCTGTGTTTTCTATCATTAGGACCATAGCTAATAATTCCAGAAGCTGCAGAGGCCCAAACTGGCAATGATGCAAGCTCTCCCTGGCTGGCTAAGGCTAGATTTACCTGCAGTGGCTAACTTGGTACAAATTGTGACCTTTTATTTTTTGCCTTCAGTTTCATTCATAGAACGGATCTAGTTCTCCTAAGTGCTGGCTCATTGTTTCTCTCTGAATGTCTCAGAACAAAAGCCACGTCAAGGAATCACATTAACATTTTCTGTCACCATTTATTAATTCACCAAATACAGTGAAAATGGCATCATAATATACAATGACTCATTCTTAGAATGTCATGACATTTTTGTTGCTTTTTTGCTTCGTAAAACAATGTTTTTTTTTTTATATTTGAAAATATTAAGGTTTCATGCACAACCATTTGTTGAAAAGTATGGTACAAAATAAATAAAATAAGTCAAACAAATCAATCAAACAAAACAAAAAAATTGTCATGTTCAAAATAGGTCAAATAACAATGCGTTATTTGTGGATACTCGTAAACAGTGCAATATACTCTAAAACTGCCATATTTTTTCTAACAAATTCATCAACGAAGCTGAACTCACAGTATACGACTTCTTAATAATAGTTTAACATTGATGTGTGCAAAAAACCCAGACACATTCAGTAAGTCTTTAAAAAAAGCCTGACCTTTGATATAGAACAAGACCAGTCTACTAAACTGAGATTTACCAGTGTGAGGCCCAGTCCCTATAGTCAAACCCTCTCTGAAGTACAAATATCTTTGTTGATGAACCGTAAGACGATAGACTAGCATATAATTCAAATAACAAATATTTAGATATAAAAATACAAATATGACTTCTTTGTTGTTGTTAAAAAGAAGCGTGCCAGGGTTACAAGTTGCGGCACCTGCATTGGCACCAGAATGGGACTCTTCATGCAAAATAGATGGAGGCAAAAAAATAAAATAAAATAAATAAAAAGCTACTTCCACTAGGAACTGGAAAATAAAATTCTCAAACCGTGTTTACCCCATGATTCTCATGGCTAATATTTAAATCATATACAGGAAATCTCCACATTTCTGTAGGCCCCTGTAGATATTTGAAGAAATGCATAACAAACAAATAAAATAAAATAAAAATGAGGAGGAGAAAAAAAAGATATGTGCAGGAATAAATCAGCTACATGGAGGTGCCATCCTGCACCATTCACCACTGAGGGGTAACTGCAGGATGAGCATAGTGGTCTGTTTGTCTGCTGTTTAGACACTGAAACAAACAGGAAAGGGGGGGGTTCCACTACAGAAGATATAAACATTGCACCATCCTCGGATAATATGTCTTTTATACATACAATGAATCTCCTTTTACTCTATAAAGTTTGGTTGATTTTTGTTTTTCTGTAAAAGTATTAGCAGCAACAGGGGATGCATTAGATCAGTGCTGAAAGGACAGCTCCCTTAAAATTCGTGGCTGATTGGATCAACAAAACAAAGCCTAAAGGGCTGAGAAAGGAACAGGGAGGGGGGTCGTTTAAGAGCTTATAGCTTTACCTATTGTACAACTTACTGAAATAGGGCCGGATTTAGTTTTGCCCTCTATAGTTGCAGTCTTTTGTTGTTTACAGCGCTTCTTTATGTATATATAGATATATATATATTTCTGGAAAAGAACAACTGAAAGAGATGATCGTGAAGAAAAAATGACAAGTTAATCCATCATTTTAAGTCAGCAGAGGTTGAGATACACAGCAGCCATCTCAACATAGTTAAAATCGGGATTCTTATGAAGAATTGCCAGCAATCCCACAATAAAACTTGGTCTTTATTCCCCTTCCTCTAGAGTCCACCAGTCTTTCTTCACCTCTGTCTATTTTTCCCCCTCAAAGCCTTGTCCATTACCCTCCTTTTTCCCCACTCTCCTCCTTTTATCATCCTCATTCTTGCTCAGAGCTGCCCATGTTTTTAATTTTCATCTGTCTCCCTCTCTCCTGCAATCCTCGAACATGCACAGCCGACAAGTGCTTCAAATCGGGTGATCGAAAATTAAAAAAGTCTGCAAGGCCATCGGAGACGCTTTACACGCCGGGTGAGGACTTGTCCGTCATTCCCTTCAGGACCTCGTCTATTCGGTCGTCCTCGATGACCACTGTTGACATAAGGGAGAAAAAAAGAAATGACGATGTTTATATTAAAGTGCTTTAGAGTCAAGAAAAGATTACAATAATAACACACCACACGCTTTGTTTCCCCTTTATCCGTGTCTATTAGAGACGCGCGAGCTATCCAAAGTAAATGCTGGCACATATTGTGGTTAAAGGCGCATCTTTAATGGCCCTTTTATTCTTAGGGTTTAACAGAGTCCCTCAGGGTGTGTCCCTGCCTGCACAGAGATAATCTGTCTATGAATCTAAACATAATGCCATCTAGAATAAAGAGCTCTATTGCGCACTGATAGATTTGGCTGGATTATTCCAGACGCACTAACACATATGCTCAATTTATTTATATGCTATTGTTTTTTTGCATCTTTTTTTTTTTAAGTTTTGATGGATTTTAGTGTAGAGCATCGTTTACCGTGCTTGGCTCTGCCGATCTGTCCCAGCTTTGGGGGTCTTTTCGCCTGCGACGCAGCGAAGAAGGCATTTGAGTCCTGCAGTCCGCAGCTAAAGGACATCTGGCTGACCTCGCTGTCCGCTCCGTAGCCGCTCATTTTCCCCTCGTTATATGGCAGCACTTCGGACATCGCGGCAAGGGTAGAACAGGAAAGGAAGAAAAGGCAACACAAAGTAGTCTTCCCTCCTCGGAAGAGTTGCTGTAGATCCCCTTTGGTGCGAGTTGCAGCCGTTATTCTCTTCTCTTAGGTTGGAGCCCGGTGCGGGGAGGTCTGTGGATGCGGTGCAGCTGCAGCCAGAGATGGTGTTTATGCGTGAAGGAGAGAGAGAGGGAGGGAGGGAGCTGCGTTCAGTGGTGCTGCTGGCTGATGTCTGGCGAGGGATGTGGGAGATCCCGGGATCATAAAGGAAACCCAGGCGAAGCGGTGAAGTCATCCATCCGGGGTTGAAGCGCGAGAGCGTGCGCGTGCCAGTGGGGGGGAGAGTTGGGTAATAAGAGTGATCGAGGAGCAAGAGTGACACCATCAGACTATTGGTGGAATAGCTCCGGTTAGATCAGGCCCTGCTGGGCATTTTACCACTAATATCAGAAAAAATAGCTTCCATCCGACATAACTGTGCATGTTGGTAGGGGCCGGCCAGATGTGCATTACATAATCTGGCCTTAATGAACATTTAACTTATGGGGACCTCTGCCAGGTCCCCTTGGAGCAGAGGCGTAGCGAGAAAATTTTATAAGGGTGGCCAGGCAATAATCAATGTACACTGAGGGGTGGCCGAAAATAGATAAGCACCAAAACCTCACGTTCAATCTACTCTGTTCCAACAGGAAAATTAACAAGCAAAACATCCATATTTTCTAAATAAAGACAAATTATACTTTCCCATTGCCTTTGTTAACAAATAGACGAATATATTCAAACATCTGTGCTTTCTATATAAAATGTATAATGGATAAAATTCTTTCAGATTTGAGTTTTGGGCGAACATCTTTTCCATTGTTATTACTTACCTAAATTTATTAATAATCATTATGCATAAAATTGATATTTACAAGCACTAATATCTACATAAATTGAATATTCAATAAGTTTTTATTAAAATAGTTATTTATCTATGATTTCACTGAAGACTCCTAGATGACTTGCAGAGACACATCATTTTCTCTTTACCCCATAAAACACAAAATCTATTTATTTATTTTTTTATTCTTATCATTTTTAATGTTAGTATATTGATGTATATAATTAATTACTTTTTTTTTTGTCAAGTAATTGTTAACATATGAACATTTTTTTTTTTAATATTGCACTTGAGATTATTAATGTTGCAAACATCTGTATTAGAAAGAAACGGCCACCCCTTGCCCCCATCTAGCTCTGCCTCTGCCTTGGAGGAGGTATGAATTGAGTCTTGGTTAGGGTTTGGGACCCAAAATGGTTAGGTTTAGGGTAAGAGTCAGGGTCAGGCTGTTGAAATCGCCTAAGATTGAATGGAAGTCAATAGAAATCTCCACCGGAATAATGAAACCTAACATGCGTGTGTGTGTCTGCGGGTGCTCCTGCAGGTACTTTCAATTTCACCATCCAACTGAGGATCCTTTGTACCAAAATGTGGACATTTTGCTGGTCCTCAGTTCCTATTTTGCTTCCAGCTGAGTTTCAGTCGAAGGTGTGAATTAAGTTCGCGTAAGAGTTAAGTATGCACGGGAATGGTTATGGTAGCGTTATTTTTAAGTTTGAGGCATAGAAAGGGTTGAAAATGGCTGAAAATCAATGAACGTTCATGGGAATAGCAAGATGAGAATGAGTGTGTCACTGTGCACCCACAAATGACCACACTTACATTATGGCAAACTGATGTCATCATTTTGATTGAAGGGCTCCTGAATTTTAAGATGTCGGGTTCGTCCCTGCAGATTTCTTTCAAAACAAAGTTGCTCCTTCTTCATAAACTGCAGCCTTTTGCCATCAATGAGCTGCAATGTAGTTTCTTTAAAACAAAGACCAGGTGCATTTTCCTTGTTTTGTTACTAATTTCAGGACTGTTGGAATAAATGTTACCTACTGCCCTGAGATGTTACCAGATGCTGCTTCACATGTGCATAATATACTGTACCAACTGGATGCACTGCTTTGTTCATGTCACATCTGATCACAGCTTATCTCTGTCATAGCAGGTAACAGTTGCTAATGATCTTCCTCGCTATATAGATCTCAGCATCTCTGACAAGGTCAACCACCCTAAAGTAGCCAATGTGTGCATATGTGTGTGTGAGTTCTGAGAGCACTGCTTATAAGGACAAATTAATCATTGTGCTGAGTCACTCCCATTCTCTCTCTCAAGGAGCAGAACCAAATAAACTACACATTCTCCCCCCCTCTCTATCTCTTCTTCTCTCACACATATACACAGACACAGCCACTCATACATTATGTTCAACTATCCCTACGGGGATTTTCCAAGGACTTCTATACATTTTGCATTTTTTTGCACAACTATACCCAGATCCCTACTTTAACTCAAACTAAACCTAGCCCCAAAACCAAGATGACTTTTCCCCATTGGGACTAGTTGACTGGTCCCTGCAAGTACCTGTCAGTCCCCACAACCTACTATATTCCTGGCCTTACAGTGTCCCCATAAGGTTAAAATAACAACTTGGCCATATAGATAGACTCAAAAATATTCCACACTCTGTGTAAACACATCGAGTTCCTCCTGGAGGAACATTATAGCTGAGGAAAAACACCAATAACGACCCCAGAGCTCAGAGCCAGGATCAATTTGTCCCTCTGCGTAGGTGTATCAGAGTGTGTGTTTTGGCTAGAGAGATACAGCAAGATCTCTTTGGAGATTAGTGATTATACATAAATGTTGTTACTTTCTGGCAATTATCTGCAATTTTTAAGGCATGTATATGACTGCATGTTAGCAGGTTTGTTTATTGTTTTTAGGGAGGAAAGATAGATCCAGCTTTTATATGCTGGGGAATTTAAAAAACCTTATTAATAAAGCCTATACATAAGGAAGTTACTCTCACGCCCTCTGCACACACTGAATAACAAAGCACTCTGTCTTCATTTCTCTTCATGAAGATTATTGCTGTTGGTTCTCAGGGAATAACATCTTCCAGTTTATTAAGGGATTGACACAGATCCTTGTCTTGGATCAGTAAGTGCACAGCTGAATAAAAAAATGCTCATAGAGAAAGTGTGCAGCACTTTGAAGCTACACAGGTGCAAGGCTGCAAGTCCAACCTCAAAAAACCTACCAACAAGCTAAATCTGTTCTCAAAACAGTTGGCATTTGCTGGACTGAATGCCATGGGATGCAGCAGAGATATTGTTTTATTAGAATGGGGGCTTTGCTTTAAGAGTTCTAATAAGTGGTGTATCAAGACAGCACTGGTCATTGACTGTTTTTCTATTTTTTTTTATCTAAAGTGATGGGTCTCAGCAGACTTTTTATCCATAGCTGGTTTTACAGCAGTTCTCACAGTTTTATTTGGGCACCTACTATTTAAGCTAGCACGGCTTATTTGCAACATTAAAATTAATATTATGAATGATAAAATATAATTTAAAAAATATTTATCGGGAAACTATTAAAAACACTGATAAAAAAGAAACAAACAATTTATTCACAGTTTAATATCCAGTAAATTAACCTTATGGATTACTGATCTGGTGGGCTATGTGGAAAGTTAAGGTAGTCAAGTTAAGGTAAGGCAAGTTAGCTAGTATCTTGGTGTAAATGAAATGATCAAAAGGTACACTAAAGGAAAACAATGATACAATGGTGGAGGCTCCAAAAAGTAACACCCTTTACATTTTTTTTTTACTTCTTTTTAGTGCTTTTGCATTTGGCCAACATCAGGGTCAGTAGTAAGAGCATGGGGCAACATCTGGGTTCTGCAGAGGTTGCAGTCAGTCCAACTCTACAGCACAGCACATCAGTTCCTGACATTGCAAAAAAGTTTGATGTGTCTCCCCCCACAGTCTGAGGAGCAATGTTGGAGATTGCAGGAGACATGCATTTACCCTAGGAGAGCTGTACATAATCAACAGAGGTCCCTAACCCTTCATTGGAATGAGGCCCTGCTGCTCTTAGCAAGGAGGAATAGGATAATTTCACATAGTGCCCCACAAAGAGACTTCAAACATGTATAATGTGTGAGTGTCTCTGACCAACTCATTAGAATAGATATAATGGGGTAAATCTGTCTTCAAGTTCTCCGATAGGCTCTTTGCTCATTACACTCTACTGTGAAGCTTGACTGGCATTTAACAGGAACCCCCCTAATTGGCAGGTTCAACACTGGCCTTTATTCCTTTCATTGATAGAAGCAGGTTCACTCTAAACTCTTGTGACATAAATGAAAGGGTCTAAAGAAGCTGTGCAAGATATCGTGCTGATTGTAACGTCATTGAAAGATTGATTGGGTGGTTGATCGCTGATCAAGCTGTGCAAGCTATGGAGTCCCATCATTTGAAACTGGACTAACCTGCCCTATCAATTTTTTTGTTTTGCTTTCTCTTCGACTTAACATCAAGCCCTTTGGACTGTCATTCATGAATGTAATGTTTCATGTTTGTTGTTTTCATATCGTAGGATTTCAACATCACACATTTCCGTAAATCTGTTTTCTTACTGGTGTATTTGGGGATTTTTTTTAAAAATGCCTACGTTTAAATACCACTGATACATATTGACATTCGGTCAAAAACAGTTATAATTTTTAATATATTTATGATTAACGTTATAATTATCCATTAGAGTATTGTTAATGTTCATCTGTGTTTGAAAAGATTGGCGACAGTGGCAGGGCATAGAGCTTAAAATCCTGAGGTTCTGAGTTCGAGCCCCACTCCCACAGACTGCCACTCTGTCTCTTTGAGCAAGACACTTAACCCCTCACTGCTCCTCGGGCGCCGCACGATGGCAGCTCCCAAAGGGAATGGGTTAAATGCAGAGGTAAATTTCATTGCTCTGTACTTGTGACAGTGTAATGTAAAAAAAGAAAAAAAAAAGCTGGGAAAAAATTGCAGTTCACAATGAAATTGGAGCAGATGTCAAATCCTGTTTTCATCAGTTAAGACTATTGGCAAAACTTAAACCTTTTCTTTCATGCAGCCCTTTGAAACCATTATCCATGCTTTTATTTCATCTCGATTTGATTACTGTAATGGACTCCATGTTGGTGTGTAAAGTCTTTGCCGTCTCGCCTACAGCTGGTGCAAAAAGCAGCTGCTCTTCTTTTAACTGCTAACCCAAAGTATGATCATATCACTTCTGTCCAGTTGATTTTATGTCTTAATATTGTTTGTAAGTGCTTAAATGACCTTGCCCTGTCTTACCTCTCTGAGCCGCTGAGCCTGATTTGCCTGCTTGGTCCCTCAGGTCAGCAGAACTGTAGC